AGTTTTCAGTAAATATAATAATTAAGAAAGGTTTTATTAGTGACTAGCAACGAAATCTAGGATGCGCGTTTCTCCGCATTTGGGATTCATCAGCTGGAAGTAGTTGCACACCGATGTTGATGCTCACGCCAGGACTCGAATCCAGTACCTTTCGCCTCAAGCGTCCTACGTGTGAACCATTGACACAATGAGTCCAGATAGCCAATGACTTCCACAACATCATAACAGCAATGATTCAAGGACTTAGAAGTAACGATAATGATTAATATTATTGCTTCTATTTTCAAGTGAATTACAGTAAAACGTCAGTAAAAATTAAATACAAAGTGTAACTTTTACACAACTGTCAAGCATCTGATTGAAGAACATTACTGAGCCTCTCTGAACATATATAGATCTTCACTGTTTGTCTGGAAAAGAATAAAAGTAAAAAATGGCATCTCATCAGATTGTTCGAAATGTACTGCACAAATATATCACATAATTCTGATAAACTTCGTCTTCTCATTGCATCAAATGAACTACTTGTTTTAAATAAATTAGTATTTCATCAAGTTATTGCAATATAAAATCTAAGATGCATTGAGAACTCTGTTTTCTGCGATTTTATAAGCCAAAACATCCAAAGTTCCATCAACGATTCAAATGTAACGTTATTTTACAATTCTGAACAAGTGAACTTTCATATTCTTTGTACTTTGATGATCTCTTCGTTTCTTTAAATGATTTTTTTATCTTCTAATTTTATTCTACTATGTTCATTTAACCTTATTGTACCACCCGGAAGTGATGCACACTGAACAGTCGTACACGTTCACAAACCCAGAAAATATTACTTGTCAGCTGACTTTCACATTTTCCATCGAATAATCAACGAATGGAACTCATTAGCTCAACACGTGAATTGAAGCTCCATCTTTTGACGCACTAGAAAAAAGGTTGGATCAACTGTGAGACAAACATTGCCAAGACTAACACAAGCCATCTAGTCTCCTTTCTTTCCTAAACTGAGACTGGAGTTAAATATCATAAAATAAAATAGAATTATAGCACGGTGGTTAAAAAATAGCAAGCCCATATTAAGAAAAATTCAGCTACCTGACAGCATCTCATTACTTACTTAACTACACAATTTTTTCTAATTTCCTTTTCAATTGGAAGTTGGTTTGTTCTCTCTCATAGTAGGCTTTTGCTGATGGTATCCGGCCAACAGATACTCAGTATCTTACGTAGACGATTGTTTATAAATACTTGTACGTTTTCGATGATAGTTTTAGAAGTTTTCTATCCTGATTCTTGAGATCGTTGGTGGAATGGCATCTGTAGGATGGTTTGTGTGTGCTGCTTTGATGTCCGATAGGCTTAATAAAGCTGACCTATTCAAGAGTTCCTCAAGATGTTTCACTCATCTGTTCCTCTTTTCTTGAATCTCGGTAACTGTCTTGCCTTCTTTGTCCTTGAGTGGTCTCTCTGGCTTACAATATTTCCCTTTCAGTTTCCTCATTATATCACATAGTTGGCTGATGCCCCTTTCTCTTGAAGCTTTTTCCATTGTCGTTACTAGGTCTTTCATTTATTTCTGCTTTCCGACTCTAGTTCCCTTCTTCACTTTCTTGTTTGCTTCAATATATTCAGCTTGTGCCTCGACTTTCTCTGTTCTTGTTTGACTGTTGTTAATTGTTGTCTTCATGTTCTTCATTTCTTGAATCTTATTTAGGTTTTCCATAGAGATCCATTCCTTATGATTGATGATGCTTCTTACGGTCCAGAACCTCCTAACACTTTGAAGTCGATGCTTCTTTGACCACTTTCCAATTGTTCTCTATAGTAGTTTCTTCTTTTTCAGATCTTGAAAGTCTTGGAGCCTGATGTTAAGAACTATTCTGAATTCGTTAGTATCTCGAAGGAAGGCTGCATTGGACATTTGTAGTGTTGTTTCTCTAGTTGTCCAGTATTTCTTTAGCTTTAGTCTCATCTTCGCAATCACCAGGTTTTGATTTGAAGCTATGTCAACTCCTCTCCTGAATCTCACGTCTTCCAATATCCTTCTGAACATTTTACTGATGCAAATATGATCAATCTGGTTCTGTGTGGTGTGATCCAGTGAAACTTATGTATCTTTGTGTATGCCTTTGTGTGGGAATATTGTGCCGCCATAACCAATTTGTTGAGTGCAAGTAGATTTGCAAGTCTCACCCCATTTTCGTTTCTCTCTCCCAGTCCATGTCGTCCCATGATATCTTCATATCCGGTGTTGTGTATTCCGACTGTGACGTTTAGATCTCCCATCAGGACGGTCAGGTCGTTTCGCGGCTTTCATCATGAAGCGCCATAATTCTTCCTTGTACTTGGAGGGCAGATTTTAAGTGATTTAAATTGTTTATTCTGGTTAGCGTTTTTTAGCAAGGTTATTATCTACGAGATGAAGTTGTCGACTACTTGCCCAAACCTCATCCTTTGTGTGGGCTTGGGACAGGCAGTAACCCTAGGACTACAGGAGAAGTCAGTAGCATTTCATAGGGAATTCTAAGTATAACTACTACAACTATGGAACAAAGATTCAGAGAAATCTTTTCATGAGGTGATTCCCAATGTTCTAGTGAGATTTGGTGACCAGTGAAGTCAAACCATGTCCAATGTTAGACAGTTTTACACCAGTGACCTTTGAACACAGTTGGGCAATATCGTGAATTAATTAAAGATAAACTTATTCCAATGTCAAATGTGTATTTTGAAAAAAAGAAACATTACAACTACTCTACAGGAAGTCGTACTTTTTACTGTTGACCCAACTGACACATTCGTTGTAATTTTTCTTATGAATTGTTTCTTTTTTTCAACAAGAAAAACACAACAACCCAAGTTTCATTGCAGTTATGTAGGTAATACATACTTGTGTGTCCGTATGTGTGTATATTAACATAATTAACTAATTTCGTAATGGATCTGATGTGTTAAATCTACTGAACTTCATCATTCATATTTTAACTGGTGAAACAAATGTAAGTTTAAAATAAACACATTCAGAAACATCTACACACGTTAAATGTTATTGTTGAAAAGCATTTGACTAAAACTGAACATTGGTAAATTTATAGATTTAAATTTCAAGTTGGAATGTAAAAACTATTATGTTTCGTAACCATGTAAACTAAGAGGCTTTACAATGTTCACAAAGTTTTCTTTTGGAAACTCCATCTTGAATTGAGCAAACTTAGAGTTTACATGATTTTCTTATGTATTTAAAATAATCCCATATTTATGAATTAAAGATCTATTTAAACATAACGTTATTTTCGAACTTTATCATGACAAACTTTTCAGTGTACAGATATACATTTACTGTTCTGTATCCAATGAATAACAAAAATAGCTTATTATGTAATGTGGTTTTGATTATACTATGGCTCTGTACGTTCTAATTCTAATGTATTAGTCCTAATTGATTTAAGAGTAAGAGAGGTATCTATAACAGGCACAGATTTACTATTAAAAGCATATTCACATTGACACTTGTTTAACTGAACTATCATTTCGGAATTCTTTTTAAATGAAATCAATAAATGAAAATATTACTTTATGTGTAAGTTATTTGATAAATCGAAGACCAAACTGTATAACTGAGATACTAATGAGTTGTATTGTGAATAAGTTTATGAAAAACAAGTCGGTGTGTAACATCGATGTTAAATTACAAAACATAAAAACACAATGATTCTCACAATTTATTTTGTTGTTGTTGAGAAACTATAAGCACAAAACGGTGACGATCAGTTCAGACTAGAGATAATAATGAATTGGTCAATTGATTAATTCACATTCTAAGATTTTACATGATAGAATGAAAAGATATGACTTGTCATCATCACTTGCATTGTTTTGTCTGTCCTAACCCTCTAGTATACAGCTAATATTGAAAGTGAATAAGTAGAATATGTTGTTGAAGTACATATTTTATTTAAGTCTTTGTAGACATTTGGAAGAATTGTTCTTTATTTTTAACATTCATTAAGTTTCATATAATTTTAGCAGTTGAATTTATGAGCCAATATAAGCTAGATCACCATTGAAAACCTGAAAGCATTGTACAGCCGTTTCGTCCTAGTATGGGACTTCTCAGCAGTGCGCATCCATGATCATGCACGCGTGACTCGGACCTAGGACCTTCACTCTCGCAAGCAAACACTTAAACTCTATATTCTAAAATGAATAGATAAGCATTTTCTCACCCGAGTTATTAGCCTAATCAGACGGAGATCCACATGACAGGTCAGGTTTTTACTTGATAAAACATGTGTTATCTCATACCTCTCAAAAACTATCGATTGTCTTGTGAAATGAAGTTATCGCTAATACACGGTAGTGTAGACTTGAGTTAAGACAAAAAGCAGCTATTGCACGTGGCAGTTTTTGTTTCTGTAAAAACTCATTACTCTGAGGAATTTGATAATCAATTATTAATCAACAATATGATAACCACATTGTCCTCATGGGAAAAACGATACACTATGGGTGATTGATTTTTCTTTCAGTCATAGCGACATAAGGAATAATATGTGGAGCTAACAATTTAAAATAAATAGCACAAAATCTTTGTGATTTCTATGATTGATGAGGTTTTTCTACGAAGTATAGACTAGTGTACTCGGTTTTCAGTCAATCCTAGTGATACCACCCGGTCGTCTAGACCAAAGTGGATGGAGGGAGACTGAAACTTGTAATCTAATGGTTGAAAGTTGAACCCATTAACCAGTACGCCATTACTCCACTATATAACTTTAACTACAATCCCAGTGAAAACTAGCAGCTACTCACAGGATTCCATTTGTGAATTAATGATGACTAGTTATTTGGCATGTGATTCTGTGATGCAAACTACTGAGAAACCGAAGAATTTATGATTTTATGTACGATTATTTCTTCTCGGTGAGAAGTTCACTTTTCTTTTCAATAAATTTCGCTCGCTTTGATTTCTTATACCAATGAAAAAGAAACTGATTGACAGTAGTAATTTTTGCTAGTAGCATTTTATCGATTATTGGTCTAAGTACGGAGAAAAATATGCTCGTACATTTGATCATAATATATAATGATTTAGATTCACTAAACAGATGATAATAAAATATGTTCTTCTATTAAATTTCATCCTGATATGAAAAATAATGGATGTAAAAATATCATCATTATTAAAAGAGTTACAATTTTTTTATTCATCATCTATTGTACACAGAACACTAAAAATGATGATAAATAGTAATGTCTATAGTAAGATGGAATAATAATGATAATAATAGTAACGAGAATCAATAATAACACAGATTCCAAGTAAATTGACAGAGAAAACCGAGAAGATAGATTAGAGGAACAAAACAATATCACTTCTTTGTGAATAAACAAAAATAAGCAGAAAGAAGAATAAGAAGAAACTCTATCCGAGACAACGTAGTAGTTTGTCTCAAGATTCGTCATAATCAACAAAAAAGTGACCACCTTATCATCATCCTTATTGTGTGTGAATGACTGAAATATCGATTGGACAGATATATCCATTACTCTGAGAGATTTGGTTGAATAATTATTAACCGATAATTAGATGGTAGTCAAAATGATTTCTATGATTTTTTTCTATGGTTTTACCATTCAAGCTTTTATTCTTTTAGAATAAATAGATCATCATCAACACAACTAAAACCGGTTGTATACTTCAATAAAAATACCATTGATGCGCACAGATTTCAAATCTGATTTTGTATGTAAATAAAACGAAAATCTCTGTTTCTCAGCATTATTTATAGAACATATTAACAACATAGTAAAAAATAATTTGAAACGTATACATCAATGATTTCCAATGTTGTGGTGATTAGTGGTCTACAAAGAACAGAGAATGAAATAGAAGTTTAGAGAGAGAGAAAAAAGTCGTCTTGTTTGACTGGTGTGATTATTAACTCGAAGAAAACAATGGAACTACCAAAAAGTGTAAAGATAAATTAGTTTGTTCACTTCAATGGTAAAAGTTGTAGAAGTATTATTATTAATTATATTAGTAGACAAAAATATATACTTTTTGGTTTAAATGAATGATAATAATCTCTTTGTAGAAATAGTAAACTAGTTGGTAATTACAAACAATAGATGGACTGAACATCAGATAAACATATAAACAGACATTAGTCAACTTAGTCTTGAAATAACTAAGTCTGAATTAAAATTACAGTAAGATAATGCAGTTCATTAAAGCAAAAAAGCTGAACAGTAAACGAAACAGATTAGAATTGAGCAGAACAAAACAGATTAGATAGAAACAGAGAAAATCTACAAGAATGAAGTGAATATAAAGAAAGTAGTGACGTGAGAGTAACAACCTAAAAAAGAAAGAAAAAGATGAAACAAGGCACATTTTATATGGCAGAATAAAAAACTATAACTTGAACAAATATGGAACGTTATATGTTATTGTCCAAGGAATGCAATTTAGGAGAAACGTGGGAATGTGGTATACACTGAAATGGTTACAAATTAACAATCATTAGTACTCTAAAAGACAATTCAGAATACATGCGAATAACAAACAGAATCGAATGGAACAATAATCAACAGCAAAATGTAAAGAGCTTTCATCTCAACAGTTCAATTACACTATACATATTGAAGAACAATATTTCCTCCATTTTAAAGAAGCACTCAATCCAGAAGAAAAAGAAATACAAATATTCGTGTAAACCGAGGGAATAAGTGAAGCAGAAAAAGAAGTAACAAAAGAAACAAATACAAGTGAGCCAATGTTATGAAACACAATACAACAGAATGATGATTATATAGTAAGGAGTTCATGGAAAGACAAAAGGTAATTTTTCAAGTGATATACATAATAACCAAACCTTTTTAAAACTACATTGATAGTTTTATTTATAAGAAAAGATCTCTCAAAAAAAAATAACCAGAAGAAAAGAAACAAAACAGTGACAAATATGAGATAGGTACAAAGATGTAAAGATACGAAACACTAGTTATATATAAATATATGTGTGTGACGAGGGGAACGGAGGTGGAAATAGGTAATTTAATGTGTAATCAATAAAGAATTAATTCATTATGTTGAAGATTTATTCTTTATTCCAGTTAAATCGGACAGTATACTACTTCTAGATGATAAGGCAGTTTGATGACGTTGAAATTTTTGTTGTTGATATAATTGACGATCTAATATTCGGTCGTTATTTGTCCAACCATCAAATGCCTTATAAGTATAATTTATAAAAGCTAAATTTTTCTGATAGCTTTTCATAGGATCTGTAACATTAGCTAAATAAATGAGTTTAAAAGAGAAAATGAGAATGAAGATTATTAACTTTAATTAATAATAAATACTTCAATATAATAATAGTAATAACAATGATAATAAGCAGAGATCTGCTTGTAATGCTTGTGGATTAAGGTCATGTCGATGCAATTCGTACAGCATGCACATATGCCAATAAGAGACTGATTGATTGAAGTCCTAAACATCAATGAGAAAACCTAAACAATCAATCTAAAAATGAATTGAAACTTCACCCTATTGCACAAGCTGGTGGATGACTGGACTCAGTAGCTAAGTGGATAACGTGGTAGCGTTTGAAGCGAAAAATATTAGGTTTGAGTCCCAGAGTGGACATCAACTCTGTGGTGTAGGTACATCCTTCTGACGAGTCCCAAATAAGACGAAACGTGCCTTCTGGATTCCACTACTAGCCACCATCCATCTCTGCCTACAATGCTTGTGACTTAAGGCAATATCGAGGCAATCCACACAGAATGCACATACGCTAATAAGGGATTGATCAAATGCAGTCCTAAACATCAGTGGAGTGATTCAAACAACCAACACAATAATGAATTCATAACGATATTAACTTATTAGATATTATTAATTAGACTAATTAAATCAAAAAAGTGTATTCATGAACACGAACAATATATACTTTAGAAGTAGAAGATAGAAGCATTTGCATAATTATTTATATCAAGTTAGTAAGTGGAACAAGTTTAAATCTAATCAAATGACTATACGATGAGATGAAGTTAATAAGATGTAAAATGTACATAGCGGTAATAATAATGATGCTGAACAAGACTAAAAACGTCGAGAATAAACACGATTAATAATGGAGTAAATCCAGAGAAAAACTAATCTACAATCATAAAAGTACACATTTCGATACTGAAAATATTTTCGTTGTAGAATTAGAATATCAACTCTAAACTTGTACAAATGAATAAATCCTGTAGAAATATTGCAAAAATTTACATTTTACTAACTTTTAACTAATAGTATGAATATTTGTGGAAATTGTAGAATTTTCATAGTTGAAACCACGAGACGATCTAAGCCAGATTACCATTGAAAACCTGAAAGCACTAGATAGTCTTCTCGTCCTAGTACGCGACTCCTTAGCAATGTGTATCCACGATCCCGCATACGAGACTCGAACCTAGGACCTTTAATCTCGTGTGTAAACCTTTAACTTCTAAACCACTGAATCGTCATTCGACGATGTTAATGTCTAACTTTAATCAATCCATGACACTACATAACCCTAATTGATTGTCAATTTATCCTACCTATGTATGGAATAACTAATAAATTGTATAATATCCACAGGACTATTGAACAATGTTAGTTCAAATTCACCATCATAGAAACTATATTTTGAGCACATTTAAAATTTTAATTGTAAACGAAAAAGTAGAAATTTCGATGACTAACTAACGTATATATTAAGCATAACAATAATAATAATAATAAACTAGGAATTGCCTTCTCTTAAATATACAAACAAAAGAGGATAATCACTATTTTTATAACATCGATCACAGGAAACTAATCGATATATATATATATATATATATATATATATATATATATATATATATATATTAGTAAGCAGACTCTCACATTAAACTTGATATTTAGATGAGTCATACATCGTTATTTGAAGAGTTTTATATGTATATACATTTTAGAAAAAAGGACACCATTCATTCAAACAGAATACATCGAGATTTTCTAGTTGTGATCATGAGTCCATTAATGTTAGACCGCCACTGATAACCAAGAAACACTGGATGGTCGTTTCGTCCAAATATAAGATTCCTTAGCAGTGTACATCTACGATCCCACCCGAGGGCTTCGAACCCAAGATCTTTGGTTTCGTGTGCGAATGCTTAACCTCTAGATCGGTAAGCCGGTAATCCAATGATGTTTGTGTCTAGCTTCAACCAACCCACGAAACTGCGAGATTGTGGATGCGCACTGTTGACGAGCCCCATACTAAGACGAGACAGCCGTCCAGTGCTTCCAGGTTTTCAATGGTCTAACACCAATCGATTCATAATCTCAATCAAAAACTTTACACTCTCCACAACCCCATATTGATACATCGAGATTGTTTAAAAACCACACACAGGTAAATTGTAAACTAATGCATAGAAAATAAATCAGCCAGGATTAACATCTAACATTAAGGAAAGAGGAAGAAATATATATTTTTTGTGTGTAAGATTGATAATTTTAAACTTTGGTCTAATTTGATAGAAGGATAGCTATTTGAACCAATTATACAATACTCGATACTAATCTTTATTGTAAGTTAAATACATTTAAATGTAACGTTAGATCATAATATTTTGTACAGAATGACAAAATTAGTTTGTTATAGCGTGTAAACACTTACAGAAAAGCAAGTTTTGTTACAGTAGAATAAACAATACAACACATATTGACAGTTTCTTTATTCAGAGTGCATTTTGTACACTTTTTATTACGTTCTAGGAACAACAACACCATTACAAGTACATTAAAAACATATACACACGCTGCAGCTGATCATGTGGTTTTTGTGGACAGAAAAGGTAAAACATTTGAGACACGTGATGCATTAAATCCGTACAGCCATAATTTTAATTGTTTTCTTTATGTTATGCGCATAGATTTTTAGTGTTCTATAACTTACATTAAACTATGCGCATATAAAATCATTTAACGAAAGACCATAAACCTATTTTAACTCTATTAAGTGGTTGGAGTTTCTCAAGATCACATCAACATTGTCCATAAATCATAGTATTGCCAAGTGTTTAACTAGTAGTTAAAACAATCAGGGAATTTACCATAATACTAAACAAAAGAGTAAGGGAGGATGATATAATCATACACTACCATTGAACTATCATGATTCCTAGATTTTGTAAAATATCTGTTCAAAAAAGTTGATGAATACCGCTAGTATCTTCTGATCATTGAATACAGATGAAAACATTTAATATTTCTGAACATCAAGAGATTATTAGGTGTAATACTGATAGTAGGAAAATTATACAGAAATAACTGTATCAGAGATTTAGGCAATCTGATCGCTTTGTAATCAATGAGTACTTCGAAATGGCTCTTTATATAGGTGTGTTAGGATTTAACAAAACAACAAGAAAAAATACACACGCAACTTACGCCAACTTAAATCAGCATTGGGGAATTCATCGAAATTACTAGTATCATCAATTGAACGTATACTCACTGGAATCGCTGCAGGTCGTTCACGTATATGCTCCCAGTCAACTGCATGAAAAAATGGTTGTTTTCGTATATCTTCAATACTTGATAAACGTGTTTCTGCCCCACAACATAAAGATTGTATTAAGTTTCTTGAATGATTACTAATGGGCATTTCAGGTGGGAAAAATAATGCCTCTTTCCAACTCATAATTTTTTTATACGTTTCTTGTGGTGTAGCTGAACAAAACGGTGGGTAGCCTGTGAATGATAAGATGAAAATTTCAAAGGAAAAGAATGAAAAGACATAATTGTTGTTGATTGTCTCCATGAAAACTATTTCGGCATAAATATAATAGTAAAGTATATGGAATTGACAAAAACAAACTTTTTGTAAAAAAATTAGAAGCGGTACTAAGTAATCAGTCAGTCATACTGTTTATGAAACTCAGGTAACAAAATCGTACTTCATTTCATTTTTAAAAAAGTAGATTTACTCTACATTATTCCCACTACAACATCGTTTATTCAATACTTTTTCAAAGACTAGAATTGGAAGTAATACCAAATTACGATAAACCACCATTGAGAACCTTCAAGCACTGGATAGCCAAGTCGACCTAGTATGGGACTCTTCAGCAATGAGCATCCACAACCCCACACATAAGATTCGAATCCAGGACATCTGACACCGCACGCGAACGCTTAATCTCTAAACCACTGAGCCCTCAAATGCTTTGGTACTGTTGAGGGTGGGGAGAGTTCACTCTCCCTCTTGAAATGCTCTCACATGGCAACGCGTGAACGACTACTAACAGGGAAGTCCTACTCACTGCCTTCTTGAGGCGTTGCTGTTGTTTACGAAATTGAGAGGACAAAAAGCGAATGTCCAGCGCCTTAACCTGGTTGGTGGATATGTAGAATCCATCTAGGGGAGTTGGAAAATCATGATTCCAAACTAACGTTGCACATGGGCTCCAGGATCCTGAAGAAACAAGTGGTGTATGAACTAATCGTTGGTCACCGGCTACCGTGGGGGCTGCAACTCCTGACGTTGCTCCACTGCCTTGTGGGTCTGATCTTTAGGTCAAAGGCTCCAGGCGTGGCCCTCTAAGAAAATCACCTGCTTCGGTCTGATACCCAAAAAGTATCCAAACTCTTAAGCAAAACAGTCATAACTGCTACTGGCCTCATTGTTATTGTGTGGCGCATATGTATTTGGTGCCCTTTTGTACCAATGTCTATTCGTTCAAATAAATAAATAAATAGACCACTGAGCCGGCATCCAACGATGTTAATGTATAATTTCAACCAATCCACGATATTGCGCGACCACCCTCCAATGTCTTTGATGAGTAATTGCCTCACATCAGACACAGTTTAAATCCACTGGTCACAGCTTCTCACTAGAACTCCAAGAATTACCTCTGGAAACTAGTCATTAGTGAGCACATGATGATTATTAGTATAGGGTTGTGAAAACTGTTCAGTTTTAGTTGAGATTCAATGCTTTAAGCTTTTCACTGGTGATCTGCATTGATCAGTTCATGATCTTAATTAAAACTCAACAATCAGCACAACCCTATACTGACAAGTAACTATTAATTAAGTGAAAAGAGAATAACAAAATGCAAACAATAATGCTGATAATAATAATAATTTTATAAAAGTAACAAATATTGGAGGTTTTTTCAAGTACCATTCTGAACTGATCTATCACAAATGATAAAGTTGTCAGTATTCCAAATTAGTATTATTTTCGTCTTACATCATCTACATATTATACTTGTGAATTAACTTAAACATTACGAAGTAATATAAATGAATTATTTCAAGAAATTGAATACATTTCAACATAAAATGAGTCTCTAATAAAGGAGTTTCACATATGATGGTATATGGTAAGATGATTAGTTATTCAGTGGGAAGTATTTTTTGAATAATTATCTCTTATCATAGAATCATCTTGTTATCAATTCAATTTTGTAGAACTTTTTGTAATATGATTTAATCTAATGACTACAACCAACTATGAATATAGTTTACATTGGAATTGAAAGTTCAGTATTTTTGACCAGTCCAATAAAAAAGAAAATAATAAATATGATCTTTAATACAATTTATGAACAATAAGCAACTATCGCACATCCCTAATGTGACTGACTCTCTCTCTAGGTTTTTTTGCACTTCTAAAAGTCTATTTCCAAGCTAGCAACTAATATGCTTCGGTTTGGGCACCCGGATAGTATCACAATCCACACACAAACCAAGTGACTTGTGTGGCGCATATGTATTGGGTGCCCCTTTGTACCAATATTTATATGTTCAAATAATAATAATATGCCTATAGATTATTAAGTGATTTTGTGAACATTATTATTAGTTATGACTACGTAGGGAGATGAGGTCATGACTAAATTTTTTTGATGAGTAACATACGAAAATCAAGACAGACATTATTGAATAATCACTAGGTTTATGCATAATAAGAATCAATAAATGAAAAATTAACATTCACATATTATCAAATGGAATGAATAATTAATTATTCATAGATCAACTGTATACAATATGCTCATGAAACGAAAAGTCGACGTTATTTACAAATCAAGCAATGCATAATGGTAGTGCTGTTTGTAATAGTCAGTCAAGATAAACAGACACATACATACACAAACACGCTGTCTTTATGTGTAATTAAAGTTGTTGTCAGTGTATTTTTGTTTCGAGTTGAAAATCATGCTGTTAAAATTCATTATTGTCAAGGTAACATCAAATTTAATTAGGATTAAATTTAGACAAATATATACGAATGTATTTTTTAATTAAATCTTAGTGTTGACTATACTCTTATATATCGTACCATAAAAATGGATTCGATAGAATTTTGATTATATTAAAAATTATAATTGACAGAACAAACTACCCATAATTGATATACTATTGTCGCTTCTTGCCACTTCTCTAAATATTTGGTTACTATCCTGAAGGGAAAACGAAAAGACCAAGCAACACATTGAGTTGGGAATTGGAAGCAGATATCAAAAGAATGAATAGCAACCGGTAAAAACTGGAAAGGATTGTCAAGGATGGAGTTTTAATGGGGTATTACGGTGGGAAGCCTATGCTCATTCACGATGAGTAGCAGGAGTAAGTAATTAATGAGAGGTTAACGAAGACTGTCCAGTACGATGATCGATTCCGTTAGGGAACAATATTAATTAAGGAACACTAAATATCTAATATAGACGTCTTCAACAGTATGACCCCGAAATAAATTGATTTTAGGATATTTCGAGTCTTATGGCATCAAATTGAATTCGTTAGTTCGCCCTAAAACGTGGAACATTATGTAAAGTATCGTGAATAAAAATGATACTTTTCAATGTATATAACAATAATTGGAGCAAAAATCGGAACTGTTTATTTACCTATCAGCATTTCATACATAATAACACCAAGTGACCACCAATCACACGAATTTGTGTAACCATGATGTTGAAATACTTCAGGTGCAATATAATCCGGTGTTCCAACAGTAGAATAAGCCTATAGTCAAATAATAGAGCAAGAAAAACAGATAGCAGATGATACAACTATAGTTCACGTAAGAAAAAAACACTCTGAACTAATTTTTTTAAAAATTGAATGGCTTCAATCGAGTAATTTACATTACTTATCCAGACCATATATAACAACAACCACTGTTACGTCCTCTACTGGGCTACGACAGAATACGACACAGAAACAGCGGCACTCGAACATGTAGAACCTTAAAGTTGCAAATCAAAAGGCGCAAAAATATGGTAGGTGACTGTTGAGTAAGGATCAAAAATGTACGGAAAAACATGGGTATATATAGTCATTAGTATTGACTATAACATCACTATAATTAAGCCGATCCGCAAGGAGGCAAATTATGAAATTGTCCAATCGTAGCATGCAACATTGATATTATAGAACGCTCAATTGAGTACTGATTCGACGGGATCTCTTGGGTTCTTCTATAGCCTTTCGAAACTACCATGCCAAAATTAATCTAGCCTTGGTGAAAAGCTTCATCGATGATAGTACAATCATATTAACTATTATTAGGCTAAAGAAGAATATTACGAACACAATAAGATTGAATCAACCAAAGAATGAACAGAATTCAATTAACTGATTCAGTGACTAAAATACTTTAATCAAATTAATTGATCGGTCAAGATAATCCAGAGAGATACAAACAGTTTCGACATAACAATGACAACGAAAAAATATCCAAAAGAAAAAATGTGTAACCAGTTATAAGTGAAAGAGTGAAAGATAGATTTATATTAGAAATTTATTATTTTCCTTATATTTCCCAAGGTTAAATTGAAAACAATGACTAGAATGTAAATGCATTAAAATAATTAGGTGTAAAATGTATTTATATTTTGAAGAAACTAGTAACATAACTCAGTTTAACATCGAGCATAAAACCAACATTTCTGTTGAAAACTATTCGACATACAAATTATTACACTATAATAATATTGAGTAACCAGTATTTGTTATGTCTTATTATTGGGGTTCAGTACGGCTTACGATGTTACGGATTTAGGAACGAAAACGATTGAACTTTTGTAATACAATCGGTTCTCGTCGGAACTGACAACAATCAATTATGCTCAACACACCAAACCTCGATGGTTGGGACAAGAAGACGCAATTGCAGGTAACATGATATTTGTGGTAGAACAAGTAACTCAGACGAAATGGGTAGAAAATTTGTTACTATAGTAGAAGGATATCACCTTCGAGCATGTACCAATTTAGTGAAGTAAAAAAAATAACAACCAATCAGAAGGTAGAAGTCATGCAGAAAATCAAGTTGGTAAAAAGTATGCGAGGGGTTATCATTCCAGAAGAGATCCTAGCCTTTCTGATAAAATCTATTTATTCTTGCGACTGCCTTAGCAGTATTTGAACAATGTAATTAAAAAATAACAACGTTTAAAATAATAATTATATGTATATGTATATGAAACACTCAATGTGTAAATTTATTTGGATTAAAACACATATATGGTTCAGTATTTATCAGTATTTACATACACCTCACAATAATGCACAGTTGTGATAATAAGAATCCGTTTTCTGTCAACAATATTACTGTCGATTAAATAATCCACGAATTGAAGAAAAGAATGTTGAAATCAGTTTTACCACGATCATCAAGAAAGTAAACAGAGATTAACAGTAGTGGTATTAATTTTTTAATATAGAATGAAATCTGAATAAAATTGTTCCTGAATATGCACATGTACAGTTGTGGTACACATTAACGTTTTTCGTGTACATGATCAAATATTAACATGTTACAATAGAAGTGATTATGGAACCTTGTTATCAAATAGCTGAATGTTATAATGACTAAGCATATAAATAAGACAGATTTTAACTACTATCCAGAAATCAGTTTTAAAAAAAAATATAAATGACCAAAAAACTAAATAAAAATTATTTAAATTTTGCACAAAGAAAGGGTACATAAACTTTTTTTTTCTATTTGAATGAATAGGTAAAAATAAAACGAAAAATTCATTGCACTAACTGAATAGTTACAGAACAGAAAGATGAATTTGTTCAAATCTCAACAAACTATCCAGGTCGATTACATCACCATACACAATCATAATTTGAATTTATGCACAAAATTATAATAGTATTATTTAATAATGAAAAAGTGTTAGATCGAATAACTTTTAAAATATAAACCCTAAAGGTAAATAAATAACAAAATTACCGTTGAATAGAATATACGTCAATAGTTTATCTGGTTACATATTAAAATTAATATTACTGTATGTATGGAACAGTGTACACAATGTACATACACTTGAAGTAAATATTTATGAACAACAGTTAGGATATATACAGAAGGTTTACAGTACAGGATTTAATTATATCACAAGATAATTGAAAAACTAACGCTTTTACACCAATTGACCACAATTGTTTATGATACGAGTGATTGACATATAATCATTTTATTAATATTTTCATTAATCTTGATAAAAATGAAACATGTCTAGTGTATTTTGAGTGGAGCGGTGACTCAATGGTCTGAATCCCGCACCAAGCTGTTTTACTTTGGAAAACCGAGTAGTATTGTAGTAAACGAAGACTTGATTTAGTGCAAAATTACGGTGCTTTCCTAAAATATTAAAAACCATACATTAAGTATATTATTTGCACACCTTCCTTCAGTCGTCCTTTACATGATCCACGGTTTTTTTAATTTTGTTTTCATTACAATTGCTCTATGATTCCCTTTCTTTTTCTCAACAATACAATCTTCTGCTGGCATGTATTCGGATTAGTGTTACACATTACTTACATTTGTCAACATAAGTAGCACACACCACAGTAATATTAGCGTTCATATATAAAGTAGGGATCGATAACACGTACACAAACCTGTAACTGATAGTGAACAATAATAATGTCATATTTGAATGTGGTTATTGTCAATAGCCTAAAATTAACCACTAGAAAATCGAAAAAAAGGACTGTTAAACTTGGACAAATAACTATCAGATACTTTTAATTAAACGCAACCAGCACTTGCAGAGAACTCACGAATTAAGACAGTCTAAAATTGTGAACTTTAAGTTTATCAGTAGTAGGACAGTATATGTCTATTCAATATAAATTATTTTATTAATGAACATCACTGGTACTATACCAACTACTTAAATATATGCATACACATATAACATTAGGCTGATGCTGTAATTATGTATTCTAGAACTATATTACCATAAGTTGACACATTCTCTTAAAATCTAAATATAACTGTGATCACGTTATCTAAAATAAAAATTTTTTAAAAAAAGTTTCTGTTCAACTGTCATTTTTGATTTCAAGGTTAACAAACACACGACCTTACAATTTGTACAAAGAGATGAAATTCGTCACATATGAAATCATTTAAACAGTCAATGAAAATATGGGAAAGCTGTAATAGTTGCCTACAGTGTAATGATAAAACAAGTCAATAGTATATTGATTATGAATATATAATGCTAATTTTTTTCGAACAAATTGATTAAATGATGTAGAAAAAACAGTTCCGGACTATTTAAGAATTGACAGTTCTTAATGGTGAGCTATATCAAAATTAAGATTGAAACGTGGGTGTTGTCAGACTGACAATTTACTTTTGTATGAAAGTTAATTGGTGTTAGATTCTGAAAGTTTTAATGAAACAACAGGCAACTTTATTCACAATTAATTGATCATTTAGAGAAGTAGAGCAGTATCAAGTTTTGCATGAGTGATCAAATAAAACTTTAGCCGAATACGTAATTTATCCCATTGCATGTATGTGTATTTTATTTAATGAATCATCCAATCCTCAGTGACGGATCTTTTGTATCTAAATGATTTGTATATTTATAAATAAAATAATATATTTGTAATATTCCAATGATTAGAAAAATTAGATTTTTTGACTGCTAAATAATAACTCGAATGAAATACCATGGATTGGTACCGCAGTTTTACCATACCGCCATGGTACAACAGAACTCAAAAGAATTTTAAAACAAAACAGAATTAAAGTATATTACAAAACAACGAACAAACTTCGAAACACTTTAGTTCGCTTAAGAAATAAACTCCACTTTATGTGAACACAACTGTAAGTACAAATGAGGATGTGTCGATCATGATGCCTTCTATATTGGAGGCATCTCGATAAATCTTGACTCAAGCCTAAGAATATAATAGGTACACAAAAAAAACCACCTAATAATCCCGCGGAACTGGATAGACTTCAAAAATTAAATCGGCAATAGCAGTTGATGCCATTTTCAACAACCACTAAATCGATTTCAAAAACATCAAAATATTACAAAAAGGTTTTTCAAACTACATACAAAGGAGAGTAGCTGAATCTTTCCATATAATGCTTAATCTGACTGCTCTCAATAGAAAAGAAGGCCTCGCTATACATCCGACTTGGACTATTTATCCAATCTAGTACGTCTGATATTATTCATATTTCACACTATTATCACACATGCAAATTCAACTCCATCCTTTTTCACCACAAAGGTCATATTTTTTCATCCCTGACCTTGCACACATGCACACACAAATTTACATACATGTTGCTTATAAATCACCTTGACCGAAATGACATGATATTGACTTATTCAAATCTGTTTTTTCATTGATCGCACATAATATTCTTGTGTTGTACCTTTGTACTATTTAAACTTGGATTAATTGTGATTTGAGTGTTTATTCTCTGAAGTGGCTCCCACCGAGTTACGAAATATCAGAAAATCTAATTTTTCTACTCATTAGGATATTAAAAATATATTCCTTTATTTATAACAGTCTACCCAATGCTCAATTTATTCGAAATTATCAAGTCAAAACTTGGTAATGATACCTACGATTTTTATGTTTGTCTTATATTCACCAGTCTGTTGAAAATCACTTCATTTGTGTATATTCTTTCATGCAAACCAATTGGTAACGAGTTCATCAATCTCTATTACCGTGACAAA